TTACGCAGCAAGCGGCAGAGCAAAGAACACGCCTATAGATGACCAGAATGCATAAGCATAATTAAAGACAATGGCTGCACAGGCGTGTCAAGGAGACTCTAATCATTCAGTCATGTAAAAACGTGCAAATGATACGAACCTTGTGAGGACTAGATGTACCTTGCCGCCCCTGTGGCCAAGAATCTATTTAACCAGCAGCACGAATAAAAAGCTTACCATCTGGCTGCACATGCACCAGTTGATTCAAACAACTGAAGGACATCCGAAAGCAATCAACCTTGAAGTCGTACCTCGAATCAGAACCGTGAGATGTGGGTCAAAACGGCAGTACTGGTTAATGATCTGATTGACGATGCTTTGGCGCCGTGCATAAATAAACCGCTTTATGCTGATTTTCAAGAAGAAATAGCAGAAAGAAATTGAACAAAAGAAGTTAACTTTTCAGACTACGAGATGGCAAGGTTTGTGCTCCGTATTAAAGTCTCTACATACGTGGCTTAACAATGGAAGATAACATTACGACAGACTGGTAGATACCTGTTTCGCTGGAACTTTCGGTGCAAATCATATTGACTTTGATTCACTATTTGTGTACGTTCAACTCTGCACTTTTCTCTTAAAATCCAAATTAAATCTTCACCAGTTCTATTTTCAATTTTGTTATAAATGCTCAAAATCTTATTTTTCCTGCTACTCACTGCTTGCAGTTTTCTGCACTTCGTTACCTTAATTACTTCCTATCACTTATTCCCGCTTTCACGGCATATTCGTCCTGTTTTCTTGCTTCTAGCAGTCTAGGGAACCTTTCAAGCAGGCTATTGCATCACAGCAGCCCAGTGCATGAATGCAAAACCATGTAACGTGACAGGCCGAAAAGGTGTTCGGACATCAAAACTTAAAGGACCCTTAACCCGCTAACGACAAAGGGACGGCAAAACTACACCACTGTCTACGATTCCGGCATCTCATCTGTGGCATCGGAAATCAGCAGCTTCCTAGCAAACCGAAAATACCGGAATTAATTCCTACGTATTGATAACCTAACTGTACTGCAGTAGCACTGTTTAAGAACAACCCTGATGATGGCTTCTTTGCTGAAAGTCGAAACTTCCTAAACGTAAAAGGATTTAAAGTAACTTTTCGGGTGGGCAGATCCTCAAAAAACCACTTCGTCGACAATAAGTCAGAGTATATCGGGTTCCGCGATCATTCTTGAGTTCGATAACTTTTTTCTAATCTTTACGCGACAAAAAACCTTCAAAGACATGAAACCACTAAGTCTTCAAAAGAAATAACTCCGATGAATGTGACAATAAGAACTCAGCTTCTCCAAACTCGAACTGTATAGCTCACCACACCGACCACCTGTCCCTGATTATCTGTAGATAAGGGGGCATTAAAGCAATCTTGCGTTCAGTCGAAGCAGCTACAGTGCTAGCTGCATATAACAT